CAGCACGTGCTGTAATATCACACCCTCTGGTCCATGGCCCCAGACTGTGCCCGATGGACCAACCCCTGTTCCATGTCGCCCTAGTCTGTTCTAATTGGCCACCTCTGGCCAAAGTCTTCAGACCGCCCTGACCCGCCTTCCTTGGGTCAATGTCTCCAGACCGCCACAACCGTCAGAAGTGCAGTCCATGTCTGCGACCGTGTTCCAATACGCCGCCTTCATGATGACGTCCCTGGACCGTGTTTGACCAGACTAGACTAGTCTAAACCTAGCGGGCTATCCCTGATTTATATGTTGAGACTATGCCCTTTCTAACTGGATGAGATCATGTTAACGTGCACAGAGTAAGCTTGTATTGGGGTTTTCATTCTCTGCGCCTTCAGATGGCAGAGAAAACAAGCGACTTTTTGAGAATGTCATAAAATACAATACAAATAGCATGATGTTTGTAACATGCTAAAAGCAAAAAGTACGTAATATGCTGATCACAATAACAGAAAAAACCTTATCTGGTGAACATCGTGCAAATTCGCTCATCAATCTGTTGGGTCAAATTTTTGTGAACATTACCCTTATCGTTCTGGTGACTTCTACGCGCCCTCTTATTGGCCACATCTCACTCCTGTGTTTGTGCTGTGCTTTTGCTGGCGACCGTTTGGTCGATGTGGCCAGGCTCTGCTGCGGCCGCTCACCTGTGGTTCACGTCTTCATGCTGTGCTCTAACCGGCTGATGCCCGGCCTATGTCTCCATGTTCAGACTGTGCTGTAATCCGACCAGCCTGGCTGGACTCCAGGCCGTGCCTTAAGCGGCCTGACGCCGATGAGGAACGCTGAGTGAAGCCGGCGTAGCAAGACTGTCGGGACAGGTCTACGTCAATGTCAGAGCGTTAAAATGGGGGTGATTTTAATGGCCATTCATGTCTTCCATTCATGTCTCTGGTCGATGTCTCAACGCCGTGCTCCAATTGGTCTGCCCACAGCTCACGCGCCCAGACGGCGTTTTAATTGGCCGAGGACGGCCCGCGCCTCCCGCCGGCGCGGGGTCACGTGACGTTCCATTTTGAGCGGACTCCGCTGATCGGCGCCCGATCCCGACACTGGCTGCCATGTCCGACAGGCAGCCTTTCACTGGCTTCCGAGCTGACCTCTGGCAGATGGCTATCTCTCGTTCCCTTTCAGCCGGGGACAGAGCCGCCGACCCACCGGCACCGGGCGGCGTGCGGCTCGCCAGGGTCAAGCTGCTTCTTTTGTCGAGAAGAACACGGCGAAGGGTCGAAGCGCCGGAGAAACACAGTCTTGTGGTGATCAGTCAACGGATTACCGATTGTGCCGCGACTTAAGCCCTCATAAGCTATGCAGATTGAAGTCCAATACTTAAGACCTAGCCTGCTGTGAAACGCTAAGAAGTGTTCGTGGCGACACCATGACCCCGTTGGTTCTGTTCGTGTCTTGAAAAAGGACATCAAGAGGACTGCTGGTAAAAAGTCCTGCTTATGCATGAACTGAGTCATGAATAAACAGAACTGGCGGAGGACGTGTGGCCGATGGACTCGGTATGGTCGGGCCGAGGTAGCGTAACGGACCTGTAGCCGGCAGTCAGCCAGCTCCAGGTGTCCGCAGACAACCGCGACGCCAGCTGTAACTAGGTGACCCGACAGCCTCTTCGACTGGATGGCTCGGGTGGCAAATGAGCCCGGACAGGAGGACGCCTGGTCAGATGATGGTCGCGCGTGACTGGGATGACCCGGGTCAGGAGATGGCTTGAGACGGTCACGGTCAGGAGACTGCCCTGAATGGCCGGGGTCAGGAGGTATATTGAGATGTCCGAGCCAGTCTGGGGCCTGAGCTGGCCCGGTTCAGGGGTCCATCTGTCATGACGCAGGTCAGGCGGTGGCTTGAGATGACTCGCGCCAGCGCCTGAGGCACCGAGTGACCTGACGAGCCGAGTCCGGGGTACGCGTCCCAGCGTCTGTCGCACAGTCCGGCAGTGTACCGTGCCGGCAGTCCAGGGTACGCGTCCCAGCGTCCGTCGCACAGTCTGGCAGTGTGCCGTGCCGTCTGTCCAGGGTACGCGTACCAACGTCCGCCGCACTGTCCGGCAGTGTACCGTGCCGGCAGTCCAGGGTACGCGTCCCAGCGTCCGTCGCACAGTCCGGCAGTGTACCGTGCCGTCGGTCCAGGGTACGCGTCCCAGCGTCCGTCGCACAGTCCGGCATATCAGTGCCGGTCCTCAGTGTCCGCCGCACAGTTCGGCAGTGTACCGTGCCGGCGGTCCGGGGTACGCGTCCCAGCGTCAGTAGCAAAGTTCGGCACGTGTACATGCCGGCGGTCCGGGGTACGCGTCCGCGTCCTCCGTAGCACAGTTCGGCAGTGTACCGTGCCCGGCTGTCCAAGGGGTACGCGTCCCAGGGTCCGCCGCACAGTTCGGCAGTGTGCCGTGGCCGGCCGGTCCAGAGGTACCGTCCAGTGGTCCGTAGTCACAGTTTCGGCAGTGTACCGTGCCGGCGGTCCGGGGTACGCGTCCCAGTGTCCGTAGCACTGTCCGGCAGTGTACCGTGCCGGCGGTCCAGAGTACGCGTCCCAGTGTCCGCCGCACAGTTCGGCAGTGTACCGTGCCGGCGGTCCAGAGTACGCGTCCCAGTGTCCGCCGCACAGTTCGGCAGTGTACCGTGCCGGCGGTCCAGAGTACGCGTCCCAGTGTCCGCCGCACAGTTCGGCAGTGTACCGTGCCGTCGGTCCAGACCGGACGGTAGACCCCCCGTCGACCGGCAGTCCATCAGTATTCAGCCTCTCTACGCGCCCCAGTCCCTAGTCTCAAGGTCCGCCCGCCGGCCCCACCCAAATAAGGGAAATAAGGTTAGTCGGTCGTCAACTAAATGGTGCCGGCGCGAAGCGGGCGGCGCGGGAGCAAACGCCAGGGGCGTGAATTGCGCAACTCGCCGCTATCCCCGGTCAGCGACAACAGATCGGTCCGTGCCCAATTATCGTGTCCTCCGTGCTCTGTACAAATTGCTGCGTAATCTTGACATGTTAATTGAAATTAAGTCGGTGAAATACTCGCGTGGCAGTTCTGGTGAAGTCATAGACCAAGCTTTATGCTTTGAAGTGCAAGAGCTTTATAGACCAAGCTTTATGCTTTGTAGTTTGAAGTCACAGACCAAGCTCTATGCTTTGAATACGTTCTAAGCTCAGCCTTTGAGCTTTAGAGTAAACTGTCAGTGGTCTCATAGATAAACAAAACGGGCCTCCGCACTACACCTAACTTTATATATATATATATATATATATGTGTATATATATATACGTATATATATACATACATATATATATATATATATATATATATATATATATATATATATTTAAACGTGGAGGAATTTCGTGAGACCTGTGTTTGATGACTTCGGCTGCGTTTCGAATTTACTTCTGTTAAGTAAGTCACCTTCACACATTGCGATCAGCTGATGGCATATCTGTTCAGGTGTGATTCCAAAATCCAGCCCAGACGGTAAATAGTGAACGTCTTTCCAAACTTGCTCACGGATTCGGTCCATTAATTAGACCGATCCAACATGTGCACGCTTTTTCATGTCATCGAGTTTCTCCACCAAGAAATAGCACGTTTGTAACCCCCTTTGCCCGTGTTATTCTGCAAACAAGCCGAATAAATGTCACATCAATCACTATGCCTTTGATTACAGGTACCACCCAGCCTCTGGCCAGCTGGCTGATCTGGCTGACCGTTCCATCGTGCGTCGGTGCCAGCCAGTCGCATCCCAGCACCGGAAGCAGCCGTTTCCGGCCGGTGGCCAGTGACCACTGAGCGGCGACGGACGGTACCGTCGCTGTTCCGGGCTATGGAAAGCGGCACGAAAGCACCCGCCGCCGACACAATGGCCGACCGACGCGACAAAAACGACCCGTTCGTGACAGTGGTGAGCATCAGCGAGTGTCTAGCGGCGCCGGCGCCGCAGGCCTTCTACGAGAACCCCAAGTACCACAGCGTGCTGGAGGGGCGCAAGCTGAGTGTACAGGTGCCAAACGAGCTGGCGGAGGACGTGGGCGCATTCGTCACTGTGCTGGACGTGAGCGACGCCGTTGGAGGGCCGGCGCCGCTCGCCACCGAGGAGGAGGTGGTGCTGTACCGGCTGCCTGGTGAGCGGCTCGGCCTCGGACTGCGCTTCCGCGGCGGCGAGAGCGCCCAGGAGCCGGTGCAGGAGGTGTCGGTGCAGTCCTGCGCCGAGGGCAGCCCGTCGGCGCGCGCCACCTGCAGCTGGGGCCGCCTGCAGCCGGCCGACCGCATCCTGGCGATCGCCGGCCGCGCGGTGACGCAGCTCACGCGGCTCGAGTGCGTCCACCTGCTGCAGGACACGCCGCTGGCCGTGCCGCTGCGCGTGCGCCACGCCGACCGGCGCGACACGCTCGTCAGTCAGGACAGCGGCATCTCACTGGGCGGCGAGCCGGCCGAGCGGCCGCCGCGGCCGGCGGCGGCGCTCGTCACCACCGACGCGCTGCTGGCCGCCGAGCAGGCGTGGCTGCAGGCGGCGCGCGAGTCGGGCAGCGCGTGCAGCAGCCGCAGCAGCACATCGACGGTGGTGGAGCGCGCCGGCCGGCCGTCCCTCGACCTCGCCTCGGCGCTGCAGCAGTTCGAGCAGCTGGAGCGGGAGCTCAGCATGGACAGCGTGTTTGCGCTCGAGTCACCCGGCGAGGCAGCCGAGTTGAGCGCCGTGCCCCCGCCCGAGGTGTTCCAGGACCCGCTGCCGGCGCCGACGCTCGGCCGGCGGTCCGGCGGCGACGCGGCCGGCCGCACGAGCGCGCACGAGCCGCCGGCCGAGGAGGATGAGGGGTTCCACGACGCGGGCGGCGGCTTGAGCCCGCCGGTCCGGCCGGCCGCCCCCGAGCGGAGACGGCACCGGGGGCTGTCGGACCCCGCGGAGCCGCCGCGAGTCGACCCTGACGGCGTTGTCGGCTCCCCGAGGACGGCTGAACAGATGGATGGGCCCAAGCAAGACACGGTGGTGACGGAGCCACTTCAGGACCCATTATCAGCCAGTCTGCTTTACAGGCAGACGTTGGCTAAGTCGGTCCAGCGCCCACTTTTGGAAGAGGAGAGCCTGACGCGGATTATCGAATCACCCTCCGAACAGATTGCCGGAGCTCCATCTTCCGACAACGCTAAAAAGGGTGTTGATGATCTCCCAATCAGTGGACCTGTCGTTGAAGACAAACTGGCCAACTATGTGCCCACGCCCATGCCCAGGAAACGCTCCATGATGGTTGCCACTAGTGAAAGGTAAATCAAGGCGTTTGGTTACGTTGTGTATCGCATGCAGGGCTTTGCCTTTCGGAACCTTTTCATCGATAAAACATGTATGGTTGGCTTTTTCAGAAAAGCACTAGCTATATAGCATTATGTGGACACTGTTGTTTGATAATAATTAACAGTGACCTAGCGCAATGACGAATGGGGAATCGTGCCCAGTAGCTTTTCATTTCGCGTCCCTGTTTGTTTTTTTGCCGCCGCGCACGAGATCTATAGCTGTGAAAACGTCATTCTGCGCGTGACCATCGGCTCATGCAACGAGCTTGGGGCGGCTGGTGGCGCTGTGCCGTGCATTATTTTCCGTGTCTCCGACAGCGAGGAGGAGCCGCCTCGGAGCGACAGTGGCGCCACCCTGAACTCGAGGCTGCCAGCAGCACCCTCTGTCGGCCCGGACGGTAAGTGTCTACTGGCCTGGGTGACGCCCACCCCGAGTGAGGATATCGAGGCTTAGGAACAGGGCTGGTGCTCTAGGTACCAGACCTGTGCCGGGAGCCCCCAAAATATCCAGGATCCCATTAACATGGAGCCGTATAAGATCTTGGATCCAACCCTGGAATCCAGGAACATGCCGTGGTACATGCTACCACACTTTCGGTGACTACGGTACAGGTCCTACGCTGATGCATGGGAATAATGTACTCGAAAAGCTGCTTCCTCTCTTTCGGGGTTCATTTTCACGCACGCCACAGTGACTGGTGGTGGGCGTGCTGATTCATAGGTGTTTGGCTTGACCTAGGAGGGAACGCATTGATAGGTGCATACACGATACTGTGTTGTACATCTCCGAGCGTTAGCTTTCGGATCGAAGCATGGTAGTCATACGCCGCAGTCAGGTGGTATCGCTCCGAAATGTGATATAGTTACTCAGGTAGCTGTGATCAGCCCCACCCAGGCGCGGCTTAGCTAACCCGTGCCCGGCCGGGGGATGGTAGACTTCGCCCCTACGGTTTTTCAAGCATGGGTCAAAAATGAACGCCTGCAGTAGCACGAAATTTTCAGTACCCGTTCATCTTGCAATATGGCACACTTTGTACAACTTCCAAGTTTTAAGTACTAAGATCAGTGGCCAAAGTCAGGTTAAAGAGGTCAACCTCTGAAAAACTTTGACCACCAATAACTTTGTTGTGGGTCATTTGTCGTTCAAACATAGGTTTGATGTACCAGGATCAGTGACGTAGGTCAAGTTATAGAGGTCAAACTCTGGAAAACTTTGACCACGAATAACTATTTTTGGGTCATTCGCCATTGTTCTTATTTGACATAGGAACAGAAAATGATATTACCTAGTTAGTTTATTTCGTATTCTTAAGCACGCGCAGCTGGTAATCTGGAGTCTAGTCAATGCTCATCATTTTTCATAGATCATATAGATTTGTAAGTATCTTTGTGCAGTTTTGGTGCTTCTGTTTGAGGAAAAGAGTATTTACTCACATGCAGAGCTATCATATGACCACAAAGCACATGACCTTGGCCCAGGTCAAGATCTACCTCTGTGGGTGCCTTCCGCAGAACAGATGCTGGACTTAAAAAAGGCCTTTGTATTAGGTAACTTTAGGCGCAGTATTGTAATACTCCACTGGAAACATGGTGTGATATTCTGAAGCACAAGAATGTCACAATGGGTCGCGTAGGAACATTGAGGATTATGTGAGGCCATTAGGAGTCAATGACCAATTTTGTCAATAGTGGAGACACTAGATGAACAAGTGCGACGAGTGTAACCACCTAATATATTGACAAACATCGATGGGACTATGTGTGATGTATATGTACAGCACCCTGTTTCTGGCCATATAAAAACATTGTGCTGGTTGCATAGCCTCGGCTAGAACTTCAATTTTTTCCAGCCGTATGATTTATAAGTATGACTGAAGTTGACCTCATCCGTTCTCCAGGTCATCCTAAAATGGTATTTTTTTTCGTCTGGAAAAGCTTTTGTCCCACAACGGCGCCTTATAAAATAAACCTAGTCAGAACCACATTGTGAAAAGTATATTTCTTGTAGGTTATTGGTACGCCAACTTTGAGCGGTGACCTGCTATAATCTGACCCTTGTGGGGAAAATAAATAGTCGAATGGACTACCCACAGCCTTAACTCTCATTTCTGTGCCCTCCGTATCCGTCCTGACATGCCAGCATAAGTTTTAAGCGCATCTGTCAGAACGACTGTTTTCGGCCCTTCTTGATTCAGATGACCTCAAATTTGACCAAGGTTAAAAGATGATGTACATTTTTATGATTTAAAGAGATCTTTACAACGATATCTGTGCTTTTCTCATGCGGCGTCTGAAAGTTGGAGCTCCATGGAGCAAGTCAACTTCCTCCTGGCCGAGAGCGGTCGTCTCACCTCCCCCCCCCCCCCCCCCCCCCCGACCGGGCGCAGTTGTCTCACCCCCGGTCGGGCGCAGGTTAATCAACAGAAAGAGTCAGCAATAACTGATGTAACGCGCTCCTTTTGAATGCGGAGGATAAGGCAAAGCCGTCTATTAGTGGAGAAGAGACTATTTAGCATGGTTACGTGCTGGCCACTTACTATTAACACCAATGTATTTCGCACATTGACAACGGTGGCTGCTCAAGGATACCCGTCCGGCTAGTGTGTTAGGTTATGCGCCTTTTTGTCCATTTTGATCCCAGGATTGTAGGCATACCCATTCACTACGGTCATTTCGGCGCCACGTATCTTTGGTTGTAGAGGACAGGCACGTAATGACCTGGGTCAGCTCTGTGACGTGACGGTTGTGGAGCCATGGGTGACCTAAGCCAGATCCAACCAAACTTTTCATATCCGTATGCAGCTATGAAAAGTTTGGTTAAAGTCAGTCGCCCAGAGGCAGTTCAACTGCCAATAGACAGCTGAATAGCAAGTATTTTGGCATCAGATGACTAAAGATACCCTGAAGGTTTGCTGACCTATGCCAGGTCGAAGTGGCGTAGCTATCAGCGAAGGCTATTTCTGGAGAATCGTTCAATCTGATGCGAGAACGGAGCGTCGGACGAAGCCATACATATCTGAGATAGTTCCAAAGACAATGAACAATTGAATTCAAGATTGCAACCAATTCCACTGATCTACAGCCAGAAATGAAGTTCAGGCCGAGGTCAGAACCATCGTGCTTTATTACTGGAGACCTTTTAATACGGGACAGTTTCTGATGCTCATTTCGAATTTCCTGATAAAAGGGACAGCAATAGACATCCTCAGTGGACTTCTCAAGGATCAGGTTAAGCCACAGACCTAAAATTGCTCAGGTTTTTTCAGGAACATACCGCCTAGCGCAATTCCTGATGCTTATTCAAATTCGAAAATCAAAATATTCTCTTAGACTTTGGTGATTTATTACCTTCTAAAGGTCAGTCAGGTCCGTCGCCCTAAAATACCCTATGTTTTTAGGAATATACCACCTAGAGCAACCCTTGAATCTTATACAAATTCGAAAATCAAAAGAATCTCATAGGTTTTTGGTCGCTATTACCTTCTATTGGTCAGTCAAGGCTGCTGCCCAAACGTGCCATCCTTTTGCTTAGAAAAAACATCGTGGTTCAAGACGGCTGCATGAAAAGATCTGACAGCACTTTGGACACTAATCTCGGGTTTGACCTTATTTAACCTTACTTGACCCGGAGGTCACGACCTAGGGGTCTAAAATTTTACACAAGTGCGCTAACATACAGAACAACCCATCCTGTGAATTTGTAGCCTAACTCTTTTAGCTTTTGAGATCTCAACAGGGGGGAGGGCAAATTGACCCCCATCCGAGCGTTTGGTATTCAACTGACCGCCCGGGTGCGCGTTAAGAAGAAATCCATTTTAGCGCACTAACTTACACGACACAAGGCCACGCGTCACTAGTGGGGCGTTAAGGTCACTAGTAATTATTGGGTATTTACAGCTCACCGGCTGCCGGGGCCATTTGGAAACGGCATGCCTTTATTAGGTTCAATTTCGGATGCGGTAATGGCGCGACAATGATCAAAACCCAGTGAGGACAGGTCCAGACCTGGGCATCCTAATCACTACGATACCACCGCCCCAAAAACCAGGCAAGGCCAACCAGGCCGTAGACATTTAAGCGATATAACAAATAAGTGCCCGTGAATTCACGCCGATTGCGAATACGTGCTTGGATGCGCATTTGTTTGAAATGCGTGTTTTTCCTCATTTGACCAGAAAGCCACGAACAATTTTGTAGAAAATATTTTAAGCCATTGTTACTTGAACTTCTTAAGCACAAATCACTTGTATTGTATATATATATACATATATATATATATATATATATATATATATATATATCCGACGCATAAAACATGAACCTCCTTATCTGATATCCTTTATTTGTGCAATTACGACAGGCAGCAAATAAGTGCAATTGTTTATGTATTGTGTTTCTGAAAAAAGATAGCTGTTTGGGCCAAGTTTTACACCGCAGAGACCCGGCCTCATCTGAGGGAGGGGCAACTAAGCAGCTCAACCTGGAGAGAGGGGCATGGGCCTACAAGTTTATTTTTGCCATACGTCCCCACGTGCCTTACGGCATCGCCGCAGGTGTCTCACTAGCCACTGCTGTCTTCCCTAGGGCAGTCTGAATTTCCAAGATAGCATGTGATAATGCATCGAGTTCTCTGCCTGCCCTATCATCTGCATATCGAATACACAACCTTATTTTCCGTCGTCAGCAATAGATGTCGCTAGCGTTCGCGCGGTTCTGGTCATGTGGGCTGCTACGGCGCGGTGTTGTGGGCCGGCGGCGGGGCGGGAGGCGCGGCCGGCCGGTTCAGTCTGCGCTGGCGGCGGGCGGCGTGCGCCGGTCGTGAGTGCCGCCGGCGGCGGCGGAGGTGCACGTCGCGGAGGCCTGGCCTGCGAGAGGCGGCGAGTCATCGGTGCTGTGCGGAGCGAAGTGGCGCACCGCCCGCCTACCGAGCCGACGCCGGCGATCGCCTGGCGCCGTGCGCCATGAAGTCGAACTCAAACTGGGGTACGTGCGCAGCGGCTCCGTCACGGTCCGCCCTAATCTGGCCATCGCTCGGACCAAGGCCGCATGATTTTACGCGCCATGAAGGCGCAGATCCTCAGCCCCGCAAAGCCCCGCCGATGTTCGGCAGACGTCCGCGCACAACCGGCTCACGACGCGCTGACGGCCTCTCCAGGCACTGAAACAGTTATTTGCACGAGAGGCGCTCGTTGCGGTCTTGGTCGCAACGGTCCGTGCACCCACCTGTGACCGGCAACGCGATCAACGGAACGTGGCGTTAGCGGAGTGATGCGCTGCTTGAAATGGCATTTAGGCCTAAGGAAGACTTGGTGCGGTGGACTATCACATTCTTATCACGATACCTGCCTTATTCGTAGTGAAATGAGGCGCGTGCCCGCGTCGCGTACAAGTTCCTGCA